ATGGAAGTGCAAGTTCATTTCCGTTTTTCAAGTCCGAGGGCACAACTCTTCCCTGTCTTGACCGACTGTAGGACGGTAAATAGAGAGTTTTAGATTGACTTTTTTTCTCCCTGCAAGCGGCAAAAGTGACCACGTTTTCATAGTTTTCCTGTATTTTACTTTTAGATCTTATTCACCGAGCGGGAGGTCTGTACGGGATAATCTTGACCGAGGTCTGTACCCGACCGAGGTCAAGATTATCCCGTACAGACCGACCAAGCTCGGTTGATAAGAGTTTTATTATATGACCACTTTTCATTGAAAAGGACAAAATGTTTTCGCCGTAAGATTAATACCGGAGAATCTAGACCAGTCCGCGATGCGATCTATCCAATCAGATTGCTCGATTTGCTAGTGTCCAGGCTCTAAGATTCACGGTCATATAATAATAACTTTTACAAACCTTCTCACCAAAGACAAATATTCTTTTGTTTTTTTCTACTACTTGGACTTTTTTTGCGATTCTTTTTAAGATATTTAAAATATTTTTTCAATGGTCAATTTTTTTAATGGTTTGCCGTGAACGCAAATCTAAAACTCTCTAATAATTTTTTAATCCCCCCCCCCCCCCCCTTTTACTTTTCCACTTCATGTTTAGCAATCCGTTATCCCATGTGCGCGTGCGGAAGACGTCAGGGTACCGTACCGCGCGCAGAAACTGAAAAAAATACAGCCCGCTCAAACAGCCAATCAGAACGCACGATTTTTAGGATACCGGAACAGAAAAAAAAAATTAATAGAAATACTTTGAGTTCAATTGCGAGTAATGAGATTTTTGCATTGCTGAAAGAATATAAAAGTCTTTGACATTAAAACTGACCTAGCTTATTTGTATATCCACCAAGCATCCTGTTGATACCAGTAAAAGACATACAGACAACAAATGAAATATGATCGATTTTAAACAAATTTTATGCGGCTATTTTGAAGACTTAACTGTCTTGGAAATTTTATCAAAGCCATTTACGGAAATTTTTAAAAATTTAAATTAGACTGGAATAAGCGTTCTGTCAATCTTTTTATACACAGCTAATTTGTTAATTAGTTAATTAGTTCACCAAATTATTTGAGCGTGAGCGTGTACGAAAACTGAGCAAATAAACTCGACAAACAAAACCTGTTTGTGTACAACCCCACGTCATTGCATTCTGTTTGTGGACAACATAATGCTTGTCGGTAATAAAGAATTGCCTTTCCCTTCATTGAGAAACCAATTTTATTGTTCATGAATAGGAAGAATCAATAAGAATGGCAATCGTGCTCCAGTAGAAGTCACGAGTTTTTAATCGTCAATCYCTTAAATCACAAATTCTGATATGAATTAATATAGTTTGACGGACCTGTAAATGTCACCTTTAAAAATGTTGGTAAACATTTGGCAAATAAGAAGCAGCGTAATGCGAAACAAGCTGTCTCAAATGTTTGACGATCCGCGACCCGAGTACTAAACTTAAACACTTCTAGGCCAAAATAAGGATCATTTGAAAAGAGAAAGAAAAAAAAAACAGGTCTGATTCAATCCTCATTGCAATATTTAACAGGTATAAAAACAAGTTTTTCTCTTCATTTCCCTATTTTCTCTTTTGCAACTAATGTCTAGTGGTGTTTCCATAGACTGTTACTAATTGAAAATTTCATCCACCTATAGATTTGTCAGTTTGGTATTCAATATCTTTACAGTGAAAACCATGACGTTTTCTTATATATTTTTTTTAATCAATTCTATCCTTAGCGATGGCAGAGGTGTTGCCTCAAGAGACAGAGTTGGTCATCGAGGGCGAGTCGAGCGAGGTCAGCGCTGATGGTAAGTAAAGTTATTTTTCTACATTGGAATTAATGACAGATTAATGAATCACCTCTACATTTCCGATGCACTCGATTCACTAACACTCCATTCGGTGCAGAAATTTCATCTTATGATGCATTCGAACTAAAGTGAATCATTTTTGTTTAAATTGGATTGGTGGCAGAGGACCTTCGGTCTAACTTAATTTTATCCTGTTGCCTAGATTGACAATAAACCTTTTGCTTCAGTAGTCTAGATTTCAGTATAGCTTAACAATTCAGCTTGTTCAGTAGAACCCATTAGCTTGCATTTCTGATGTGATAAAATAAATTTTAAAATTTTCTGATAGACTAGCAACCAAATTTTCCATCTATTCTATTAAATTTGGTTCTAGGTTACTCGTACAAGATTGACCTCTACACTGGTGACTTATGGAGAGCTGGGACCGATGCAAATGTTCTTGTGACCATATTTGGAGAAAATGGTGATTCTGGCCAACGTATCCTCAATAATTCTGGAAACGTCTTCGAAAGAGATTCGTAAGAAGAACATATTTACAGAAATACAAAAATGTTTTTAACGCGAGGATGGAGTTCATTCGAAAGTTAATTGCTTCCCATTTAGACCACGTGTCATTCTCGTGATRATATCTTGTTTGTTTTTCAAAGGTCTAGATAACAACTTGTGATCAAACGAAMAATCGTCTTTCTTATAAAAGCTTTAAAATTGTAAAACATTATGCCTAAAAAACGTACCCTTTTCCATTTTATTTTTCAGGACCGACAGCTTTAAAATCGTTAGCAGTTCTTACCTTGGTCCGATTAAAAAGATTATCATTGCACAYGATAACTCAGGGCTCAATCCATCTTGGTTTCTGAATAAGGTAATAAAACATTATCAGGGGGTGTGGATGGGGGTACCCGATCGTCATTTTTTTTATAACAATTGCTGGTTAACTGCTAGTTAATTTCACAAGCGCTGACCATAATATGAACCAAAATATTGAAATTGTCAGTTTACTGTTAGCTAATAATTTTAGGCCAATTGACAGTGAACTGTTAAACTCCATCCACACCCTCTTATGAAATTCTCTCATATGTTTTTTTAAGATGTCAACCTTCGAAGTTAGCCTTTYTGAAGTTCCGAGGACGAGTGGAAAGAACTTCGTTGTGAACAGGATGGTGGAACCGACTCAATCTTAGGGGAGATGAAATCAAAAAGCTTTTCCATCTTTTCAAAAACACAACAACACAAATTTGTTAGTCGTCTTCGTTTGAACTTTAGAAAAGCAAACGTAAATGATTTCTACAAAGATTTTTGTCAATACTTTTTACTCTTACCTTGCATGCTTACGGTAACATCTTTGAATGTTTTTAACATTGCCCGCCTTCATAATGTTTCTAGGTAACAGTGGAAGATGTGAAGTCTCGTGAGGTATTTGAATTTCCTTGTAGACGCTGGCTAGCCACAGATGAAGACGACGGGCTCATATCACGTGAGCTGCTCTGGTCTGTTGTTAAAGTAAAGGAGAAAGAAACGAGGGAGAGTAAGTATATAATAAAAAGTCCCGTTTCCAATTTTAGTTAAAACTGATTAGTACCAACTGATTAATACCAACACCTTCATTATCTCGTAAATTATCATGGTCCAGCTAAAATAATTTAATAATTTATCCTGAAACAACCTCTGGGCTTATCACTAAGTCATCAGGACATCGCTATAACTCACAGATCAAACCATGAAAAAACCTCTGGGCTGAACACTAAGTCAGGACATGGCAAACTCACAGACCAAACCCYGAAACRACCTCTGGGCTGATCACTAARTCATCAGGACATCGCTATAACTCACAGATCAAACCCTGAAACAACCTCTGGGCTGAACACTAAGTCAARACATGGCAAACTCACAGTTCGAATTTCAATTTAGCGTTAGATCTTGAGGAGGAAGAGAAGCCCTCAAATCTCTGAGAGACTTAAAACCTCTACCACCTTATAGATCTTGTACATCCTTYAATAGCTGAATAACAATTAGCGACAATATTAATGCTTTATATCTGTTTTCTATTAGACTACCCTTACACTATCAATATCTAYACTGGAACTGCGTGGGGAGCTGGGACCGATGCTAATGTCTACATTACCGTATATGGAACTAACAGCCGTTCCAGGAAGTGTAAGCTGAAGAACAAAGGACATAGTACTTTTGAAAGTGGAATGTAAGTACYCGACGTTTTTAAGGCATTCAATAGTCGTTGAAAATATACTTATTCAATTATGAAATGTATAAATGTCCGCTGGCTAATGAAATGATTATGAAAGGTTATCTAAGAGCTTTATAAAAAGAAAATGGCTTGGCATATGCCAATTTAAAGGTGCTACCACAAAGGAGACATTGGGCAACAATCGTAAATAACTAACTCCTGCAAAATGCACCCAACCAACAACACAGAGCAGCGACTCAATGTGGGTTGTGTTTAACTTGTTCTGCCCCTTGGCTCCAAATCCTTTCTGGGGTGTCTATCAAACAACAAGGGTTAGGTCGATTCTTTTGTAATAATGGATAGTATTTCTTACATCAGAACATCAAATCGTTCAATCTGAAATCGCCGTCAACTTTTGTAACCATTTTCTTAGTCCTAATGTTCGTTTTGTTTTGTTATCTCAGGAAAGATACGTGTAAACTCGAAACTAAAAATCCCCTAGGGACCCTGTATAAGATTCGCGTTGGTCACGATAATACGGGACTTGGCCCAGGATGGCTCCTGGATAAGGTATGAATAGTTTCCGTCTTTAGTAAAACTGATCTAGACTGAGCACACAAGACATCCCATAAGAAAATTAGGCTTTTGCAATACTTCGTTTTTGCGACGATCAAGGGAAGATCTTGTGGCACTAAAGGTTACGAGACCAAAACTTTGAGGCAGGGGGACAAGAAAGCTTTGTCATCTCTCGTCACAAAAGTCAATCCACAATCAGTCTTATACGCAAATACATTATCATTCTTGGAATTCCTTTGAACTATGGAAAGGTAATAGACCCGTTTCGAATTCCAAATTACCGCYGTGTTCCTTGATTACAGACTTCTTTGCACAGGGTTAGCCTCGAGTTTGTGCAGAATATTCACGTGTTCCAGTCAAGGTCCGTCGAGTTTCAAAGTGTTTGTATTGTTGAAGTTGTGCATTCTTTACTTTACTGTTGGTATTTGTGAATATTTCAGAAACACTGATACGAGGCTAACCCTGTGCAAATGAATCTGTAATCAAGGAACACAGCGGTAATTTGGAATTCGAAACTGGTCTATTCAAATTCTGCATCACGACATTTGATGAGCGATAAACTTTGTATTGTGTTTCTTTAACAATGASTCGAACCCTTTAATTAGTTGTTGCAAACTACAGAAAGTAACTTACASTAAACAGGCTTTTGTTGAACGTGTGTCAGTGTTTCCAGAAMATTGTCGGAAAATACAAAGTTTTCAAGGCCACGTGACTTTGGAATGTTATGGAAACGCCTTGATTGACGTTCATCAAAACATACTTCATCACGACCGCAATTTGTACGATTTAGACATTGGGAAACATTGTAAGAGTTTAGTTTAATGATCATGAATTTCATACAGATCGAAGTAGAAGATGACATTACTGGTGAAATAATCAAGTTCGCCTGTGGCAAATGGTTATCTACAACTAGTGAAGATGGTCTGATATGTCGTGACCTGATGAGAGAAGGGTTCGTCGAGGAAGATGAACCGTCCCTTGAAAGTAATGAATTAACTGCTATACCTCACATTAGATCACASTGAACAACAAATTAAAGTCTTAAAAATGCTATTTAAGGCTTCGTCCCCAGGCTACACTCTTCGCTGGTCGGCATGACGTCACGCATGTAATTGCAATCCTGGCTCTCAAACGAAGCTCTCGTGCGTCCGCCATTTTGGATGTGGGAGAGCTGACAGTGAGTAGTCTGGAGACGAGGCTAGGCTAWTTACATTTCAGCGTCATACTATATGCTTGTTCACAAGGTTTCTCATTTTAGACTACTTGCCATTATTGAGCATAAAATTCTCTTCTGAATTATATTCGCATTTAATATTCTAGAGTAGATTTTAAGGTTGCTGTTCTTTTGCGGATAAAAAAACATGGCTTCTATAACCTAAAAAATCCTAATAAAATGAAATTAAAACAAAAATCAATAATAAAAGTGACCATGTTTTATATAAATAGATATTTCATTTTTAGAACCATATTTAATGATCTTCTTAAGCGTTACTTTCAATCAGAGAAATGAYTTTCTGGAAATAAAGATTGGATTGAAACGGAAAAAAAGTTAAAATTTCTATTGCAAAGTTTCGAAACGTTTGTAATTAATTGAAAAATTATATCAATCATGGCAATTTTAGATCCTTTTTTTGCGCTTAGTATGCATTCTCCCTCTCTCCAGTCTTCTTTACAAACACTGCTTATTCAATTGCTCATTTCTTTCCTTCTCAGCTGTTGCATACACAGTCAACATCTTTACTGGACATAAGTGGGGAGCTGGCACCGATGCTAACGTCTTCCTTACTCTATATGGAACTAATGGGGAATCTCCACAACAAAAGATTGAAAACGAAGGCTCAACAACGTTCGAAAATGGAATGTRAGTAACCGAATGGAATCGCTTTTTTTTGTTTAAAATGCCACTTYATAATGACGTACGTAAGAACGCATTGGATTCCAAGCGTTGTCATCCTCCCAAGTATAAGGCAGGTCTGTTTAAGTCCAAACAAAAGTTTAGACTAAGAACTAGACTAAGCCATAATTAATTTTTAAAATACTATGTTCTTACAAAGAGCCAAGATGCACATTACCTTAGTATGATTAAAACACAGCAAGAAAAGTCCCGAGGTATCTAAATCCCCAGGACAGCACTTTGTTGCTTCCTATACAAAATTAATTTGGAATGTAGCGAGGGCGTTGCGCCTTTTGTCATAAGTGTTCAAAAAGACGTGGTTAGAGGTCAAGTCCTTATTCTGCACAAATGTTTATAATATTATTTTTGGAAATTCTATACTGATGGACTTGAGTGCATTAGCACTAAGGTGATCATGTTGACTTTATATAATTTTTCACAGGACAGACACGTACAAGTTTGACTGTCCATATCTGGGYACGCTGACCAAGATTCGTATCGGCCATGATAACACKGGATGGGGGCCAGCCTGGTACCTCGACAAGGTATGCATTCCGGATAGTTTGTTGATCAAATAACTAAGAGGCGGATAACCTTATTGAAGTTCATTCTCTGTGGTGCAGAATCTTCTAATTAACCCTTTTGGGTTGTAATTTCTGTACCTTTCCATTTTTTTTTTATTATTTTAAAATATTTTTTACTGAATCGAATGTCTAATTTAAAACTTGTAATTTTGTATGTGTGAAAAAAAATAAACCTTCGAAAAACCTTTCGAAACCTATAAAAATTATTCAATTTCTCGATTGCCCCAAAACGATAGAAATGAGATATCACACTGTCAAAGAAAGTATAATTTCCTTTTGGCCACGCAGATCGCGGCATKCACTGTTTCCCAAGTTGTCGAAAAATTACGGTAGACATTCTCATTTGCTACAGGTAACTGTGGAAGACACTAAAAATGGTGATGTCGTAGAGTTTCCATGTTCTCGTTGGCTTGCAACAAATGCTGATGATGGAATGATAGAACGCGAACTTGTCAGGAAAGGTGTGTTACAACCTTGATATTTATCAGAAAAAATCTGTTAACATTTGGTCAGCTACGATTTCAAGCTCACTCCCCCTCATGTGAACCCATACAAATTATGTCTCAAAAACACGTTTGTTCGTCTGTTGATGGTTTTTAGTTGATAGTTGAAGTAATTCCTTGCATTCACTAAAATCAAATTCCTTTTCTAAGTGTTTWMYTYTYSKTTTWAA